ATGATAATGGTACTCTGTACAAAGGAGTTGTTGCATTTATGATTGTTAGTTTAAAGAAACCTATTCCTTATGTCATAAAAGCAGTACCCAAAGTTAACATTAGTGGTAAATGGCTTTCAGAGCAAATACCATATTCTATTAATTCTCTTTCTTTATCTGGTTTTAAAATACGAGAAATTGTTACTGACAATCATCAAGCAAATGTAAATGCATTTAATTTGCTTCATTTGAAATTTGGTAATCGGTCAAATTTATTTATTTATCATTTTGATATTCCAAATATTAAAATATACTTATTTTATGATAGTGTTTATATTGTTAAAAATATCAGAAATAATTTATTACACTGCAAAAAATTTGTCTTTCCATCATTTACTTATAATATAAAAGATGATGCCTATAATTGTCCAGCTGGTTATATAACTTGAGGAGATTTTCATCTTTTACATTCTTAAGATGAACAACTTCAAGGTAATTTGAAAAAAGCTTTAAAAATTACATATCAAAATCTTCACCCTGGTAATAAAAAGCAAAATGTTTCTCTTGCGCTGTCGATTTTTGATGAAACAACAATTGCAAGTTTTAAAAATTATTTTTCTGAAAGAAATGACATTTCTGGTTTTTTAAGTATTTTTCAAAAATGGTGGACTGTTTTAAATTCAAAACAACAATTTAGTCCAAATAAACTTGGTAATGCAATTATTTTTGATGATGGTAAAACTACATTTTTTAGGCAACTAGCTGATTGGATTGAACTTTGACAGAAATCTCCATTTTTTACTTTATCTAAACAAACATCATCAGCTCTTATCACAACTGTGTTCTCAAGCAAGGCTTATAGACGAGCTTATAGAAGAAGGATATTTGTATGTGCTTACTTCACGACTTTAAAGTGACCCTATAGAGCGTAGATTTTCTCAATATCGACAGATGAGTGGTGGGAGATTTCTAGTAAGTTTACTGAAAGTTCAACATTCAGAGATTATTTTAGTATGTCGGACTTTAATTAAGGAGAATGCAAATTTTTGGGATAAAGATTTAAAGAACAATTATGATAACCCAATTAATGATGAATTATTTATAACATTAGATTTAAATTCAAATGAGATATCAGAATTAACTCAATCACCTGAAACAGAAGAAGTTGCCACAACAATTGCTGGTATTATAGCAAAGAAATTAATAAAAAGAAACAAATGTAGCAATTGTTAGTCTATGCTTGCTATAGATGCAAGCAATATAAATATTTGCCCATATCTACAAATACTTTCACGAAGTGGTCTTACTATGCCTTCACTTTCACTTAAGGATTTCACATGTGGATGTCACATGATGATTTGCAGTCTTAGATAATCTTTCAAATTTAATAACTAAACAAGGTGCTAATGTCAAAGATGTATCAAGCTTTGTTTTATCAAAATACTTCCAACAACTTGCTTTACTTACGATTTACACAAAGAATGGGGGTTTAAATTTGATTCTAAAATTATAATGTCTTTTTTAACAATAAGCAGAAGATAATCAATGTCACTGTACGAAAAAATGCTGTTAAAAGTTTTAAAAGTAGATAGAGAGAAAAATAATACTTTAAAAAAAAAAGGAGAAAACAAAACAAAACATAAATAGATAATAACATAAAAAAACACAAAGTTCAACCTTTTTTTTTGTGTAAATTCCCAGTGTTGTCAATTTAATTGTGTAATGTACAAATATATAAAAATATATATTATAGATACAAATATATATATATATATATATATATATATATATATATATATATATATATATATATATATATATATATAAATAATATATATATATATATATATATATATATATATATATATATATATATATATATATATATATATATATATATATATATATATATATATTATACATAGAAATATATGTTTAAAAATAAATAAATTGCTAGTATGAAAACAAAAAATGCCAGTTTTTTGTGATTTTATTAATAATATTCCTACTCGTAATATTATATTTAAACTATTTATTTAGTCTAGACAAGATATAGTTATATGTTTTCTCTATAGTTGCGCAGCCATCTTTTTTTATAAAAAGCCTCTTAGAATCAGCCTCTAAAATGTTGTATACACAACCGTGTAACATAGTAGGCCATGATATATTTATAAAAAATTTATAATGCATTTTTTTAATATATGTACGTTATTAGCTGCGTTTTTGACGTCACCATATTGACTGTCAAAATACCACAAAATATGTCTTATTTAATTTACATGTAATTAAAGTAGTCTAAAAAAATTTTCAATTTGAAATTTGTATATGTCGTGTGGAAGATTGTCCATGTACAAAATTTTAGAATAATACCTCATTTCATTAATAAAATATTGCTATTTAAGAACAAAAAAAGTATTTTGCAAAAAATGGTGACTCAGTATAAATAAGAAAACTCCTGAATATCTCAAAAACCATAAGAAATTGGATGTTCCAAACAAAAATCAGAATTTTGTAATTTTCATAAACCCTATAACATATATTTTTTTTAAACATCTTTGCTTCCAACAAGACTTAACATAACCACTAATTAAACTTGGAAGTTACTGGAAGAGTACAGATGAAGATTGTAGAGCAAGATAACGATTGACAGACCACTTAAAAGATTGCAAATTATATGAATCAGGAAAGCAAGATGAAGGAAGCGAATTCCAAAGAACAAATGTTTGAGGAAAAAAACTAGAGGAAGAGTTTTTGGAGCACAGAAAAAGGATGAGACTTAATTAAATGATGAGTAACACAAGAATGAATTTTAGTAGATTTCACAAGAGACGCTAGCTCTTTAGAGCAGTGCCCATTATAGTATTTGTAGAAAAGAGAAAGAGAAGCAACATTACGACGATGTGATAATGGTTGAATGTTGGTTGCAAGAGCAGGTCCAACTATGTTTACAATGCATTTTTGCACCTTGTCTAAAAGAGAGAGGGAATCATTCGAAGATCCACCCCAGATATGGCAACAGTATTCCATACAAGGTCGGATTTGAGATTTATAGAGATAGAGAATAGAATCTAGAGTAAGAAAGTGTTGAGCTCGATGAAGAGATGTAACCTTAGCAGATGCTAATTTTGCAACAGATTTGATATGTGGTTTCCAAGAAAGATTAGAAGTAAGAGTTAATCCTAGAAGATGAAGTTTTATCAAAATTAAAGTTCACCAGCCACTGTGAGCACCATGCTGTAGCAGAAGTGAGATCCTTTTCAAGCTCAAATGCCCCCTCTAAACAATCAGAGATTGTTAGCTTCTTATCATGACAAGAACAAATGGTAGTATCTTTAGCGAACAATGCCATCTTAGATGTGAGAATATCTGAAAGATCATTAATGTAAATTAAAAAGAGTATAGGGCCAAAGATTAAACCTGGAGGAACCCATAAGATTACAGAATAAAAAGAAGAGTTCTATAAATCGAGAACAACTTTTATACTACAATTGGAAAGGAAGGATTCAATAATCTTAAAGATGTTTCTAAATACACTGTAAGAAGAAAGTATATGGAGAAGACCAGCATGCCAAACTTAATCAAAAGCTTTAGAAATGTCAAAAGCAATGGCCTTAACCTCTACCGGTTATTACTGTTAGCAAATCAGCTGTAGAACGAGAAGATCAAAATCCATATTGATGATCAGAAAGAGAGTTATAAGATTCAAGATGAGAGATTAAGTGTTTGATATTAAAGATCCAAAATTTTGCTTATGGTAGGAAGAAGACTAATGGGACGGTAGTTAAATGAATCAGATGGCTATCCAGAATTTTTAAAAATAGAGATTCCAGCAGGCTGGAAAACAAGACTCTGATAAGCACTTGTTGAATAGCTTTGAAAGGATAGACGACAGTTCCAGAGAATACTTCTGCAAGACTATAACAGGTAGATTGTCTGAGCCATAACCTGGAGTGATACAAATGTCAAGCAATGGATCAATCTGTTTATGGCTATATCAGGCAAAACGCAACTAGTGAAATCAAGAGATGATATTTATGAAAGTTTTTAGCAAACAATTCAGCTTTGTCTTTAGGTGAGGTGAACCATGCAATAGAGGTGGAATTACAGACTTGCCCTTACTATTGATATTATTATAGATTCTCCAGAAGACACAAGAGCCTAATTTTTGAATAGCGGGCTTTGGCGTAAGACAAAACCTTTTTACAATGGTTTCGAACAGAAACAAACATGTTTTCTGGAGAATTGTTTTGCTAATAGATATGGAAGTAACAGTTTTGATTGACAATTGCAGCAGCACAATGTGAGAAACCACCATTGAGAAGAAAGAACCCCAGCCAGCTTAAAGGTAGTTGTAAAAGATATGATGATAGGGGTATTCAGATAATGAAAAAGAATGAGATAATAGTTTTAGAGAGATCAAACTGTGAAGAAATCAGAAGCATCTAGCGATGAATGTGGAGAAACTGAACACTGACTAGGATAAGAAACAAGAGATAAGTTGAGTAGAGAAGGTAAAATATTCAGATTGTCTGGAAAGTTGAAGGGTTGACTATTTGAGTTAGGGATTGAGAAAGCAAAAGTTGCGGGCTTTAATGCTTGAATATATATACAATATATATATATATAATATTTGGATACAAAACATTTAGTTTAACTGTAATGGGATGCTTTTTTTTTTATTTTAATACCTTTTTGCAGGTTCCATAATTTAAACAATATGCTACATGATAAATTCCATGATAATAATGTCTACAATCACATAAAAAACTTCTTAGCAATATTATAAGTAATGTGTTACATAAACTTCTTAACAATAGTATAAACAATGTGTTACATCTTGGACTTTTAAAAATAAATATAAATTAGCAAAATGATAATAATTTGATAAGTAATAAATTAACACTTTAACTCAATCTGTAACTAAATCTTAAATAAATATAAAAATTTTGGTAACAAATTTTTAATTACAAAATTTATTGAACAAAAACTGTTACTAACAAAATTAAAATTAAAAAAATTACCTGAATCATGCTCATATTGTACTTGATTTCCTGAAAATAATATTTTCAGTTAATATTTTTTTTCTTTTTTATATACTATCATACCTTTTATTTATTTAGTCTTTATTGTTGATTATAAAATTTTATCTTATATTGAACATACTTTATTTAATAATTCTTAGTTATTGAAATTAAATAAATCTTTATAAGGTTCAATATCCATTTCCTGACAAGAATCTGGTATTATACTACACAATTTACTATTTTATATAACGCTGATATTTTATATAACTTTTATACTCTTTCTTTAAGTAATTCTGCGCGTAATTTCCTGATTATAGTATGTGTTTATTTTCGTCACTTTTTATAATACTGCTGCTTCTTGTTGTGCTTTATGTATAATAAATTGAGGAATTTTGTAATATTATGTTAATTGGTTTACAATAACAATCATAATTGCTTTGTCTTTAACATTTAAACAACTTGTAGTTACTCTTGCCTATCTAGTTACTCTAGATTTCTAACTTTTTCTGTTTAATTTATTAATCTATAAATCTAGATGGTTACTTAAACACATGAAAAAGTTCTGCTGTTTCTTTCTTGTAAGTAAAAAGGTGTATGTGTATGGTAAAATGTATATATATATATATATATATATATATATATATATATATATATATATATATATATATATATATATATATATATATATATATATATATATATATATATATATATATATATATATATATATATATATATATACATACATATACATATATATTTATATATACTTATTTATTTAAAAAACAATCAAAGGAAAGTTAAAATAAGCTACTTAATACAGAAATTTTAATACAAAAGTTACTGAAAAAAATGCTTTAAATAAAAACAATTACCTAAAGTATATTTATTTAATGTTTCATTTCCTAAAAAAAAATTTATATTATTACTTTGTAATTTTTTTTATTACCTAACATTGTATATCTTTTATAGTTGAAAAAAAAATTTGATATACTATCATTTATATTTTATTTATTAAGTCTTAATTTTAAAAAAATACAAGATCAGAAAAAAGCAGAATATTTCCTTAATTTCATATTTAACAACAGCCTTTGTCAAAAATATTAAATTTGACTCAAATGGTGTATAGTGAATATATCTTGTATAGTTTTTTAAATGATGTAATGGTGAAAATATATTTTCCAGTTTTCATCTAAAATTAAAAAATCCTTCATTTTGGCAAGGATGTAAAGGTTATATATGATTATAACATTCAAACACAAAAAATTATTAACTGAAATTTAAAAACTGTTGATGTATTGAAATTTAGTAAAAAAATATTGTAATTACTCAATGTCCTCACACTTATAGGCCAGGATAATCTTTTTAGGGTATATTTGTTCTACAACAACAAAATGTACAAAATACGCTTCTAATGGGGCTTGGTGATAAGGTTTATTTGTGTCTTCTTCTTGCTCCAGCCATTTATATACTTTTTTGTATATTTTTGTATATTGTAAAGAATTTGAATGACAAAACAAAATAAACTAAAATAAACTAACAACAGCAATTTTTTGTAAAGCAAAAAATTAATGTTGTTATTCTCATTTGACATAAGTATTAACATACTTGAGTTTAAAGTTTTTAATGCTTGAAAGTGTCATTTCTAAAGCATCAAAAAATCTTTATCTGCGCCACTGACTCAAACAATAAAATATTAAAATCAAGACAAATAATATATTGATTAATTTTTAAAACTTAAAATTTGTGATTTTAGCTTATGCTTTTTAGACAAAGAAAGGGTTTTACTCACTTTTTAAAGTTCTGAATAACTTCTTCCAATTACTTAATCTTTTTAAACGTAGTTTTATTTGTAATTTTTAACTTAATTTTGTAGAAATAGCAATTGTTCTAGTTTTCTCTTGAATGCTTCCTTTACTTTTAATACTAATTTTTTTTTAGCACAAATTATTTTTTTCAACCTCTTCCAGATTTTTTTATTAGTTTTGTTAATATTGTTTATATTAATAACCTCTTCCAGATTTTTTTATTAGTTTTATTAATATTGTATATTTTTATAAGATGTTGAAAAGTTCTTAGTGGAATTTTCAGCTAATTTCAGACATTTATTTTTGGATAACTCATAATTTTGCATAAAAACAAGCAAGATGTATTTTGATAAAAAATCTAATTTTTTTCAAATAAGTACAAAATCAAATTTTGACACATACAGCTCTGATATTAACAGTAAATCAACGACCAATGATCACAACTAAATTATGGGGAGCTAATAATTCGGACAGATAAAATTATTTGTAAAGTATTTTTGTGTAAATATATAATTATATATATATATATATATATATATATATATATATATATATATATATATATATATATATATATATATATATATATATATATATATATATATATATATATATATATAAATATATATATATATATATGTATATATATATAAATATATATATATATATATATGTATATATATATATATATATATATATATATATATATATATATATATATATATATATATATATATATATATATATATATATATATATATATATATATATATATATTTCATCACTGTTTCTTTTGATTATTTTTGATTTTAAAATTTTGATAAATAAATTTTGATTAATTGTTTTGAGATGATAAAAATCTTTAGTTTAAAATATAAAAAATTTGTAAAAAAATATCATTGAAAAAAATTCAAAAATTTTTATTGGCATTCTGCCAATAAAAAATATTGAATATTTTTAATTGGCAGAATGAATGTAGTTAGCGATCATAATTTTTTTTCTGACTTAAAAGTCAAAAAAAAAATTTTCAGTGTTAATAATTTTTCAGTGTTAATAATTTTTTTATCATACTTGATTTTTATTCGTATATTAATTGTTCTGTTACCTAAATCTGGATTTTTGCAAATACTTTTTAACTCTTCCATTAAAAATTGACAATCATCACTATTTTCATTGTATCTAAATATTTCTTCCATCAAATCATTCATGGATTCATCTTAAGGACGACCAATTTTTTAACAATTAATATGGTACATAGCATCAGCAGCAACTAAATCATATTCATACTCAATGTGTGCAGTAACATTTTTTGCTACATCATCAGACCAACTCCGACCATTCTTTGAATTCAGGGGTGACAACTTTATAAATTTTACGCTGAAAATTTTGCGCTTTCTTTTTTTTTCAGCCTTTTCATTCGCTTTATCGCCACACAATAAACAATATATTTTAAAAATAAATTGGATACATCCACGCGAGCTCTGGTAAAGGTGTACGAGGATCCATTTGTTGCTATTTTTTAAATGCTGCAATAGCTTTTAAAAAATAGCAACTCTTTCGAATATACATTTTACAGCATTGCACATGAATTGTAACACACTTCTGGCCTTTTGGTACACAAGGACCCGGTCATTTCTATCAACATTGTGAATCAATTAAAGTCTTCACTCAACAATCAACAAGAACTGTTTCGTTAAAAGTTAAGATAAAACATAAATGTAACATTTTTTTTTTTTTTTAATTTTACTTCACCTCCTCAAGGCCGAGAAGGCCACTACAGACGAGGAGGCTACTTATTTTGTGGCTATAACCCTCTCTCAACTCTATAACTCCGAAACACGAACCTTGACGAACAAGGCCGCTGCGCAGAGAAACGATTTGTAAATAAGTATTAAATGGTATAAATCGTTAAGAGAAATATTTTACAATAACCAAACGTATTAACTGCAAAAGGGAGAAATATTGTTTAAGACAAACTTAATTTGGTATAACGTGATGAAATATTTTAGCGTTTAAAACTTAGTTGAAAAAATAAAATTTAGTTTAAAAAATCTTGCAAAAGAATATTTGTCAATCATTTTTCATAACAGGGTTGATACAAAAAAAATTAATAAAGAAAAATCATATTTAAAAAAATTAATAAATAAAAATTATAACAAATTAATACTCTTAAAATTTTTTTTTTATCATCACAATTATAAAAACCTAATTTTAATTAAATGTAATTTACTATAGAACGACTAAACAAAAAATAAAACCCCCTAAAACTTAGCAATACTTTGTTGTTCTATTCCAAGATCAGAAAAAAGCTGCAGAAACTTTTTTTTTTTGTGTGAATAGTAAAATGCACTATCAAAGGACTAAAGTTTTTATCCTTTTACCTTAAATAACTTTTTTTGCAGATGTGGAATTGGTGGTGACTTTTTATAATTTATTTTTAATAATATTTCCAAAATCAGTAACAATTTTCAGCTCTATGCGAATTATTGCAAACTTACAAATATTTTTTCGACTCTTTTGACCAGACTATTTACCTGCAAAGAAAAAAGTAAAACTGTTTTTTTTTTTTAGGAAAGATTTTTTTTTTTAATATTATTTTGAAGTAGGGTAAATTAACCTAATTTTGGTCAACATTCAGAAAGTTTAATTTGTTTTTAATGGGAAACATATTTTTTTCATGGAATTTTTTTTTAATAGATAAAAGTTTTTCTTAATAATTAATATGTAAAGAAAAGTTTTATATTTTATTTGTTTTTTAAAATTAATTTTACAAGAAACAATTTTTGACAAAGTTTATATATTTTTCAGCTAAAGTTAGTCACTGTTACAATTAATGTGAAAACAATCTAAATAGAGAAAACTAATTTATATATGAAAACTGATAACAAGAAAAACATAACTATCTATTACTCAATATTGGAACTGCCAGTTCCAATATTTAGTAATAGATAGGTCATATTTAGCGCAGGAAAACTTTTGTAGCCTCTCTTTTAATTTGTTTTTCAGCCACTGCTTAAACTTCTCAATTTTTTCGGCTTCATTTAGAGATTCTCCTTCAATTCTTTCAATGTTTCTTTTAAATTTGCGTATATGTTTATCAGATTCATTAATTTGTTGCAGAAATATTTTCATTGCAGATTCTAAACAATGAACCCAGATGAATGTTGTGGGGTCAGGGTAACAACATCAGTTCTTGCTATGTCTAATAACATCTGTCTAACAACATCTGAAATTTCATCGATGTCTAATAGCATCTTTGTAAAAAGTATATGATTACTACAGATGCAGTTGTAACATCTGTGCAGTTATAACATCTGTGCAACTACATCTGGAGATTTTACAGATGCAGTTACATCTTTTCAATTGTATTAAAAATAACTACATCTGTGCAACTAAATCTGTGAATTCTACAGATGAAGTTACATCTTTTCAATTATATTAAAAACAACTATAGGATTTTATAAAATTATTAATTGATAATGTATTAGTGTACCAGATGTAATTACATTTATGGTTTTTTTCAGTTGTAGTTACATCTGGAAAAAAAAATTAAATATAAATGTGTTTTTTTAACCAGATGTATTACATTTAAGATTTTTTTCAGACATAATTGCACCTGGAAAAATTTTTTCTAGATGTTATTCGACTCTAAGAAAAATTACCAAATGTAGTTATATCTTCCTAAAGATGTTGTTGGGGATCATTGAATTTCCAGATGATATTGGACAAATGTTGTTGGAGTAAAAATACAGATGATCGTTTTTCCAGGTAAGTTTAAAACGACAATTTATTCCTATGTCCAGTGGCTGTAAACTATGACTTGATTAAGCTGGTAAGCAGACTAATTGAATGTTGTTTTCTTTACATATTTCAATAACTTTTAAAACATAAGTGCTGTAACCTTCTATTACAAGAATTTATTCTCTGCCAATTGTATGAATAGCCATTCCAACCACTCAATAAATTGAAATATCTACATCCACCTTGTACTGAGACAGTTGGGCAATTTTTCTCATCATGATTGATGTATCTTTTTGATTTATAAACAACAAAAGGAGGTAAGTAGAAACCATTGATGCCATTGACGCAGTTGTTCACAGTATACTTAACTTTTTGACTTTTTCCTGGAAGTTTCAGAATGTGTTTTGTACCTTTTTGGTATAAATTTGAAATTTTTACTAGGTCACCATTAAAACCACACTCATTGCAAATCCACATATGTCAAGCATTTATGTCATCAATTTAATCTTCATCAGATTGTTTCTTGTAACCGTTAAAATATTTTTCAGTAATTTTGGAACTGCAAAATGACGTACTGTTCGATGCAATGTTAACTTTATGTAGTACCACATCATATTTCATTTCTCTTTAAAATTATACATATGGTTTTCTATTTTTAGATAAATGCTCTTGTTTTGTGTTTAACCAATAGTGTTGAACAGTAGAAATTATACTGGCTTGTGTCAATTCATAACACCAATTGCTAAAACATTGAATTAAATGAATCAATAACTTTTCAATTTCAACTGATAAAGCTGTAGGCCTTCCACTTCCATGTTGACCTGCATTTTTACTCTTATTTCTGTCAACCAATGTCGATTTAGTTCATTGAATTTGATTTCATACTTTCTTAATGATATTCCCTGCTCTCGATGTTTCAAAGATCTTCTTTCTTATAGTTGCTGTTAGCATTTTTTGATAGAGATGGTTTTGAATTGTTTTATATTAATTTGCAGGAGATTAATATTAGCGTACTAAAAGAGAGAAATGGAAAAATTTTTTTATAGAAATAGAAGGGAATTTAAAAGGATTAGTATTGTAGATTATTATTTTATTATATACTGAAAAAAGGAATTAGGGTAGGAGACACTTATTGGTTACTTCTTGCCACAATTAATTCTTTATTTATTAATTATTGGCCGACTTGAGTAGAATATTACTTTTTTAAGTTTTCATCAATTAACTTCCATATTTTACAACATAATAAAATAAAAAAACTACCATTAAATTCAGAATAAAAAACAATAAAAAACTGTATTTTTAAAATTTTTAAAACTATTTTATTATTCAAAATTTAAGATTAAATAAGTAAATATGTATTTTTGTAAAATTTAAGATTAAGTAAATATGTATTATGTAAAATTTAAGATTAATTAAGTAAATATGTATTTTTCAAATTGATGCACCATACCCTAACAAAAAAGTCACCTTAAAAATTTTTTTTACATGTTCTGATAGATGTTGCCCAACTCTCAAGTGACCAACTTAAAATCGTGACTAAAAATACACCAACCTTTTCTAAACCACCAGCGAAAAAAATATATTTTGATCGTCCAGAAAAAAATTTTCAATATTTTTATTTTAGCCAATCAGTGTTAACTAGCAACCTTTAAATAATTATCTCCAGCGCTGCACATAATATAAAATTTTAAAATAAAAAAACAAAAGATGTTGTATTTTTTAGAAATTATCACAATAAATGTGAGCATAAATTTTCTGGGACATATTTAATTATTAATCTACAAAATAAAAATGCCATAAAAATGTATTAATAAAAAAGAAACAACATATAAAAAGAAAAATGAGAAGATAAACCAGGTATTTTTATTATTTATTATTATTTAGTAAACAAATTAAATAAAAGTTTAGTTACCTTGGCCTTGATGCTTTTTAAAGAAAAAATAAAGTGCCACAAAGACTCCCATAATAATTATTATCAAAGATATTCCAATATATACCCCAAAACCAGCTCCATACTTATTAGTCCTTTGAGGCATTGTGACGTTTTTGTTTATCCCTTAAATAGATTTTAAAAAACATTAAAAATCAAGCTTAAAATTTTTCTTATTTAAAGTAATAAAAATAACAGTATAATGTAAATCAGAGAGAAATTTATCTCAAAAGTTTTGCTTAACAACAAATTTTTGTTTAGCGATTTGTTTATAGAAGTCATATCGTTATGTTGGTAATATTCATATCATTATGTTGGTAATATTCACATCATTACGTTTGTTATATTCTTATCATTACAATACTAATATTTATATTGTTTTGTTAGTAATTTTCATCTTGTTATATTTATGTTGGTCAAATCAGTAGTACAGCCATGCTAAACAAGATTTTAGTTTGATGAAATGACATAGGATTGTGTCTACCTTTTTAAAACTATTAGAACATCATTTAGAAGATCATTTAGGAAAAGTTAGTGTGAAATATCATAAAACTACTCTTTTTTGGGTTTATGCAGGGGGATAAATAGGTCTTGGACATCTTTGACCAATCTCAAGACTCACCACGTCGATGCAAGCAATTGTTGTACATTTTGTCAGAAAATATGACTAGTCGTTAATGCCCCCTTCAGATGGGTCTTAAACAGTCTGAGGGGTGCATATGCCAAGCACTTTAGTCTTATATTAAAATTTTTTTCAGAAATATTTATTAAACATTAAATAAAATGTTTTCCAACTAAACTAACCACTGCATTTTTCAAATACTTTCCGCGCTTTTGATGGATATCAGACACTTTGACACGTTCCCATGCTTTCTTTAGAAATGACTAGTGAACAGCTTCCCCTGCTTGTTCACTAAAGAAATCCAATTCAATGTCCTTATCTTTACAAAAAGGAACTACATGTCGAAACATAAAGTGTAACTTCACAGTAACTGTCATTTCATAATCTTCCACCAAGGTTGAATAACGATTCTTAAATAACATATTTTTTTCATATGTTGCCCTTAGATTTACACCAAATCAAGAGTGAACAAGGTTATCCAAATGAATGCTTCAGCCAATGGTTTTATTAGGATTGGAAACAAGTTATAGTACTTCACCCAATTTTTAAATATTTTTCAACAACCATAACTATTATATATATATTTTTTATGTAAACTCATCTCCCCAAGGCCAAGAAGGCCACAACAGACGAGGGGGCTACTTAATTGTGGTTACAACCCTGTCTCAACTCTATAACTCAAAAACACAAACCTTGATGAACAAAGCTGCTGCGCGGAGAAACAAGTTGAGCATGGTATTACCAGGGACGTGGTGGGGATCAAATTCAGAACCTCTTGCTTATTAAGCAAGAGGTTCTACCACTATACCACTGCCGCATAAATATATGACACATTTCTTATTGATTTTAAAATATTTAAATCATTTTCGATCTTTTTTAGTACTGGATCACTTAATTTAATTGTTTTAAAGATATGGTTAGCTGCTCCTTCCATCAAATGAAGTTCTGGAGGAGAAAGATGATTAACAACTAGGTCATTATCATCTCCAGTTAAAGGAACTTCATCAATACAGTTAAAATATTATTTTGTTCTAATTTTCTTTGAAATCCCCGACCTTCATCAATGGAAATTTCATAGACTGGTTTTGAGGATAGACTCCTTTTTTATTTATTATTTGCCACAGAAACTCATTGACATCTGTTGTTCTGATAAATGGGACCAATTTAAACAAAAAAAATTTTTCTAGAGATTTAATATTAAAAAGTTTAAAATATAATTAACAAAGCTGTCATCAAGTTGCTGGACAATATGTTTGAGCTCTGCTGCTAACCCTGATTATACAACTTTTTTCTGTTTTGTGTTTTGTATTGTAATGCTTTTGCTAGCTTTAGAATTTGTGTTTTACTAAATTCTAAAGTTGATAGTATGTCAATCATACTGTTTATAGACAGTTGTTGTATAATCCTAGTATCTTCGATATTTCGATATAAGTGTAATACTAACTTACCACTGGTAGCAAGTATCCCTTTACATTTTTTGTCTATTTTATCCTTTATTACAGAAAAAAGCTATTTGCTCAATTGTCTTGACATCATTTGCAAGCTTTTGCATTATATTACATTTAAGTACAGGTAAAGAAAATTTGTGGGTAATTCCTTTGATAATAATTGAAAAGGAAGTTTGACAAGTTAGACTATTAACTGGAAGCTGTGCATTACATGTAAGTCCCATTTTAAATTTTTCAGGTCTTCCTTGAGTAGATCCATTTATGCATACTTTACATTTATATACAAAAACACTTCTAGTTTGAAATGGTATTTTTTATTTTATTCTATTTTACATGTAAAGTAGGCTCTTTTCTTTTTCTTATACTGTTTTTGCAAGATTCGCAAATAGCTTTAGGGTAGAATGAACTTTTAATGTATTTAAAATTCACTAAATTTTTAATCCACGATAAATAATATTGTTAGGTTTATTTGTTTGTTTTTTTGGCACAGTATAAACACACTTTTCTTCTGTTTTCCTCATGAGAGCAGGGGCCAATGCTATAAACAAAAAAACAAAGTTTTTACCGTAAAACTCGAAATTTTTTGCGCACCACACGAAGGTTTTGCATAAAAAGCCAAAAAAACAAAAAAAACAATCCATTGCTATAACTATTGTTTGAAGTATATATATATATTAAAAATAATATATATATATGTATATTTATTTTCACAATATGTATATATTTTTATAATAATATTCATAACAATTGATTGTTCTATCTTTCTTTTTTTTTTTTGCTGTTTACGCAAAACCGCCGGATGGTGCGCAAAAAATTTTGAGTTTTACGATAAAAACTTTGTTTTTTTGTTTATAGCATTGGCCCCAGGTTTGTTTAAAATTAACTCATTCTATCTGAAAAAATAAAATATAAATTATTTTATTTTTCTAGGTAGAATGAGTTTATTTAAGAACACAAAAAACCCACTTTATATTTTACCTAAAATATACAGTATTATATACCATATAACATTTCTTTAAAAAGTGTTTCAAACACTCTATACAAATAGACAAACTGACTATTATAGCATATAGATTACTTATTAAATATAAATTCCTTGTTAAACATTAATTACAAGCATTGTTAAGTATACTTCAGTTTAAAAAAAAAAAAAAAAATGCAAAATTAAGAAGTTAGGTTACACTTGTGGTAATGATGAGTTGCGGACTGTTTTGTATAAAGCTATTGTTCAGTATAAAACTAAAGCTTAGTAGTAAGTTTGGTGTCCCTCAGGGTGTTGGTATGACACAACCCTATGTCATTTCGTCAAACTAAAAACTGGCTCAGCATCGCTGTGTTATATTAGCAATACATATATTGCTATGATGGTAACATTTCTATCATAATGTTGCTAATGATCATATTGTTATGTTGATAATATATAATTCATGTCACTTATACTCATATCATTATGTTGATAATATGTAATTCATGTCACTTATACTCATATCACTTATACTCATATCATTATGTATGGTAATATTTTTATCATTATGTGAGTAATATATATTTATGTTGGTAATATTCATATTGTTATATTAGTAATAATTATACTGCTATGTGCTAAAATTCATATGATTATAGTATTTATGTTGTTATGTTGGTAATATTCATGTTGTTATTTGGTAATATTCATGTTGTTATGTTGGCATTATTCATGTTGTCATGTTGGTAATATTCATGTTGTTATGTTGGTAATATTCAAGTCATTATATTAGTAACAGTTATATTGCTATGTCGATAATACTTATATCGACAAAGATAATATACATATTATGTTGTCATTATTTATATCAATTTTTTGGTAATGTTCATATTACTATGTTGTTAATATTTATATTGTTATGTTGATAATATTTTTATCGCTATGTTTGTATTAATCATACAACATAAGAATATGAATCTTATATAAATATTAATAAAATTCATATTGTAATGTTGTTAAAATTCAAATTGTCATGTTGGTAATATCTACATTATGTTGGTAATATTTATATCATTATTTTGATAATATTTTTTAATAATGTTGGTAATATCATATTGCTACTCATATTGTTATGTTGGTAATATTCATATTGCTGCTTTAGTAATATTTATTGTATTATGTTGGTAATGTTTATATCGTTATATTCATTTCATTATGTCGTTAATATTCATATTGCTATGCTATGTTATAATTATATTGTTGTGTTGGTATTACTCATATTGTTATGTTAGTAACATATTTATCATTATGCTAGAAATATTAATATACTAGGTTGGTTGAAAAGTTCGCGGAGCGGCACCTATGTTGCAGTAGTAGAAACAAATTTATAACTGTATTAAACGTATTCATTCTTCGTATGAACGCATAAAAAATTTCAAGTCGATATGTCATTTCAGTCTTTGTTTACAAGCTATTGAAATTAGACGTGTCATAGTATTTTTTAAAATGGAAAATATTGAACATCGTGCTGTAATAAAATTCTTTGTGAAAAAAGGTTTAAAGCCCATGGAAATTCATAATGAAATGGTAAATGTGTTGGGTGATGATGCTCCTTCAAAAACAACAGTATGCAAATGGGCTGCGGAGTTTCAACGTGGGCGTTCAAGCCTTGAAGATGACCCTCGCTCTGGACGTCCAAAAAGTGCTACTACTGAAGAAACGATTAATGCTGTGCATGACATGGTTATGGATGATAGACGATTGACCAAACGTGAAATTGCTGAGGCTGTGGGCATCTCAGATGAACGGGTATTACACATCTTGCACGATGAATTACGTCTGAGAAAGCTGTTGGCAAGATGGGTGCCGCATTCGCTAACTCTGGATCAGAAACGCACTCGAGTAAAACTTTCTCAAGAACATTTGGCCCGTTTTCAAAAGAATAAAACAGATTTTGTGCGTCGATTCGTAACCATGGATGAGACTTGGGTTTACCACTATGATCCGAAGCTGCGACAACAAACTGCAGAGTGGACAGAACCCGGTTGTTCAGCTCCGAAGCAAGTGAAGGCGTCAAAATCGTCAAAGAAGG